TGGATTGAAGAAAGATGACTAAAGATGTCCAATATTTACTGTAAACGAGTCAAGACCTACACGGCTAGTTATTGTAATCAGTACGCCTTAATGCCACCAAATGATGCTGACAAAGAACAGAAATATGCAGTAAGGTTGGTCCAAGTACACCATGTTGAATTCTCTCCCAATTTCACATACTTGAGCCGATACTACATTTAATAACAACATGAGTGTAAAATTATGTGTAAGATTCTAAATAACAGCAGATTCCATTGTACAATTGTGACATCTTCATAATGTGTGAATGAATCACTTTAAAATAGTGATGGAACCTGGTGTTCGCGATAAGGTGAGCGTATCCTTCCCCGTCAGTGGTATCCGTAAGAGGCACATGCAAAAGCAAGTCAATTTGGAAAAGTTACGAGAACATATAATACAAGTCAAAATAGGCAACTGCATCACACATCATTTTGGGAATGTGTAGTTATCCCTCTTGTCTTGGCTAGTTTTATGTCACTATGATTCTTTATGCATAGATCTAAAATCGTTTTATGTCTAGTACGGGTAGGTCAATCATTGAAAGGGTAATGTTTATTTGACCATTATTGAATGATATCAGAGCATCGATAATCCTGAAGCATTAGTTAAACGCTTTGACCAAATTCCCTTGTTTTGACTGTTTTACTTGGCATTCTGATTGTTAGCTAAATGCAATAAATCATAAGCTGTATGTTTTCTTATCCCTTTTGCCAATCCGAGCAGATTCGTATGCATAAAGAAACAAACAGATGAGCAAGGAGGGGCGGGGGTCAATACTGGTGCCCATGGGGTGCCTCATTTTTGCCTAAATGAATGAATGAATGAATCAATGAGTGTGTGTGAGTTAAAGTTTAACGTCACAATGAATGAATGAATGAATGAATCAGCCAATCAATCAATCAATCAATCAATCAATCAATTTCCTCCAGATAAATCCGAAGATTATAAAACAATTACCGACATGTAATTGTTAACGAACAAATTAATGCAACATAAATATAACACAGGTGGGGACAGGGTACTGCATATAGATGTTTATTTAAAGTGTACACGACATACGGCTTTTCCATTGGAAGAGAGGCCGGTCAAATGACCCTGAAACTGACGTTCATACGCGTATGAACGACGAAAGTTGACGTCATTCGTTTTTCACGAGACTGTATTCTTAAAACGATGTAAACACTGACGAACTACTTCCACATTCCTGGGGAAACCCCTGAGAATTCCCTAGCACGAATGCATAAAAAAGCGATGTTTCTGATCCTTTAGATCCTTTCGCTCGGCGTTTTTGATTACATTAAGAAACGTCAGAGAGTTTGACTGCATGAACGTTCATGACCCATCCCATTGAACGAAACGTATAAATGCACATCCACTTGGCTCTATCGTAGCATAGACTCGATCCGTGTCTAGACTGAAAGTAACAGTCTACAGCAATCTATGAATTTACCTTTATATCTATTTGATACATATTTATAATCACCTTTCAATGATCGGCCAACTGATCAGTGATGACTAACACATGTAACCGCCACAGGTTCATTAACAACTTCGGAAATATGTCCCGTCGCGTTTATCGATTCGTCCATTTTGATGTATTGTACTTGTTGTTAATATAATGCCATTATGACTGTCTTACTGAGGTAGTTCTTAACAGACTTTTCTCACCCAATGATGATATCATTTGAACACACTTCTTGTAAACAAACTACAACAGATGTTCCTGTAAAGCAACTCGAGCATACAGACGCACATGTCACCTCCATTTGGGGGAACTATTTTATTTCGCGAAACAGATGGTTGTTGTATACATGCCAGTGTAAACATGAAGTCACACGTATAGATCTAGCGCTACACCCCTCGATGCATGAAATAATAATAAAAAAATATAAGAATTGACTTTCATTTTGTGTAAGTTCATTGGAGTATAAATCTTCATAGAGTGAGGAGCTTGAGACAACCGGGTCTTTGTAGGGCATTCAGAAGTGAATTTATGGATGTCAACTTCCTTATTATGAGGACCATAACTGGTACTGGCTTCCATACTATCAGCGCTAATTACTGTAAAGTGTTGGCTTCCATTGTCTATTGCTATACACCTATCAGCGCCAATCATCTGTTGGCTTCCCTTGTGAGTTTCTACCCTTTGTTATTCTCAACCTTTTGTTATCTTATTTATGTTGTTGTCCTTACATGTACATAATATGCTCTCTGCCTCATGGCATTCATTCACCTGATGAAGGAGTAAGCATATACTCCGAAATGTTGCGTTCCTCATAATAAAGTTGACATCCATAAATTGTCTTCCCTTTAAGACAACCATCTGTTTATCGTGTCGGCCATATTGACTTCTTGTACTTGATGTTAATGTATTATGACCACCTGTCATTGAGATTGACTTGTTGAGATAGCTCTTAACAGACCTTTCTTACATTGTATGAACGGCGTCGCCAGGTCCGACGTTCATACAGCTTGGCCTCACTCTTTGAAGGTTCATACTCCAATGAACTCAAGGGGCGGTCGGGTAGCCTAGTGGTTAAAGCGTTCGCTCGTCACGCCGAAGACCCGGGTTCGATTCCCGACATGGGTACAATGTGTGAAGCCCATTCCTGGTGTCCCCCGCCGTGATATTGCTGGAATATTGCTAAAAGCGGCGTAAAACCATACTCACTCACTCCAATGAACTCACACACAAAGTGAAAGTCAATTCTTAAATACAGGCCACAAACAGTCTAACTATTGGTATTTTATTTACCACAGGTTGTTCAAGATATTCCCAAAGGTATATAGATACTTAGGGAATTCTATAATTGGAAAATGCCACGTTACTTCATCAGTATCATTGTAATCTTCACCAAGAAAAACAAGATTTTAACATTTCAGGGCCCTCCATCATCTCTAGTGAAACATACGTTTCATAATCAAGAATGTCAGTTAGAGTCGAAAAGAATGTATTTGTATTTGGCACGGTGATAATAATCATTAGCAAAAGTAATCCAGTAAGTAGGTACATTTCTTAGATAGATTACTTCCTCGTGGTTAGTTGTTTCATGTAATACAATCTTTCTCCGCTTATTCATTACGGGGAATTCCCCTGTGCAACCATAGTGAAATACATGAGCAAGTAGAAGTAAGTTCCATTTTCTACATGTTAAAGCAACACTTATGGACACATAAGCTGTCCAATATACTGTTATGAATATAATAGAGTGAGAGAGATGCGCAGAAAATAGTCTTACAAATCGATGCACATGGGGTCTTCCATAGACGGCCAATTTTTTTATCTATATAGCCAACCAAAGAGATTAGCAATATTGGCATCCGTGGGAGGGTGTTTGTCAAAACCTTGTACAATTCTAGCATACTGAAGTATACTGAAGGTACAACAGAGGCCACATTTTACGTTCAACCTTAACGTGATAAAGTTTTACAAAGAGACCCGGATGCCATATTCGATCAAAGGCATTCTCGTTAAAATAAAATAGCCTGTAAAAATAATTTTATACACAGTCAGTGAGGTTATAAATACCGACATGGCAGCACCGTGCTTCTTTCTGAAGCCAAACTGCAACACATCGTGAAAATTACAAGCATTTTTGGACGTCCACGTTCTTAATCTTTCAAGGAGACATTTCTGAAATGGTTTACTGAATGAAGCAAGCTGTTCCCCACAAACCTCCCTAATTGACAGGAGTAATTTTATCCGCATGAAAGGTATAATTACCCGAGCCTATAGGTGTGTACTGGAGTCAAAGAAAAGTATCAAAAAGTAGTGTTCACTTAGTTAGCTCAGTGTTCCTACTGATCATGAGTTTCTGTATATATCTAATGAATTCGTGGAGGACACTACCAACACAGACATTTGTTTCAAAACTAACGGCTGATTTCTCAGTTTCACAGTAAATACTTTGTTTAAGTTTTCTTGACTGAATTGGTCAGAGAGTCATATGGTTTTGCTGATCCGCTTAGTCTGTACACACAAGCTCACATGTCAGATCTGCAAAGTCTGTACCCACAAGCTGACATGTCAGAGGGGGTTGTTACAAAACAGTCATCATATGCAAGTCTATCAACTCCTATCTCCTGCTTACTTCATTTTCTCGCAGACTTACAAAACGTATTCACATCAGACTCACGCATTTTTTCTAAGTCTGTGATTGCGTCGGAATTCTCACTAAGCTTGCTTGTGTCATCTATAAGAATCAAACTGTTATTTTGGATGTATTGGGCCTTACCTGATCGAGGTTGTTATTGTCAGCAATAGAGAAGTCAACTGTCCGTGTATGACCAACAGGTTGGTAACAGTATGTTGTGTCTTGGCAGCCATAAAGGCAGGGCGGGACAACTTAGGAATGGCCAGGAGTCCGAACTTGACCACACAGAAGGAAGCGAGCTACAAAAACATGTTTTATATCACTGGAAAGCTCTCGAGGAGACGAATCCAAATAATGTGTGTCCCAGTGGGTTCACATGTTCACAAGCTCAAAAATTGGCTCAGAAAATGCATTACTGCAGAAATTTCTGGCCGAATTTTTTTTTTCTGCAGAAATTTCTGGCAGTATTTTTTTTTTCTACAGACATTTCTGGCCGAATTTTTTTTTTCTACAGAAATTTCTGGCCGAATTTTTTTCTGCAGTAATATTTAGCAGAATTATTTTAATTCAGGAGAAATAAGATTCAATCATTGGATAGTTTAACCTGGAGTTGCTTCAAATGACCTTTTTCCTCAAAACAAACATTTTTAGTTCACATGATTACAATCTTTGGAAAGTTTAAATTAAATTCAGCAATTGAAGATATCTATCTTGGTATTATATTTACCAAATTTATCAAGAAAAGTTGACGTCACTCGAATTAAACAATGGAACAACATGTTGGCCTCATACCTTGACCATCTTCAATGGCCTTTTGACGACTTTGAAGTGTACAACATTAAAGGTGAATGTGATTCTCAGAAATTTCTGGCAGTATTTTTTTTTTCTACAGAAATTTCTGGCAGAATTTTTTTCTGCAGTAATTTCAACCATCAATCTTTGGAAAGTTTAAATTGAATTCAGCAATTGAAGATATTTATCTTGGTATTATATTTACCAAATTTATCAAGAAAAGTTGACGTCACTCGAATTAAACAATGGAACAACATGTTGGCCTCATACCTTTGTATACTAGACAGATGCAAATCATTGAACCTTGAGCTTACCCTATAATTATCTAAATTATTATGAGAATTTCAGTGACCATCTTCAATGACGACTTTGAAGTGTACAACATTAAAGGTGAATGTGATTCTCAAAAAATAAATTTCATAATTATTCCATGGGGCCAACCAAATATATAATCCCCAGTTGGAATTCAAAGAAACAACCTACATGTGATAAACGGTACTCTGAAAGTAGGTTAGACATGGAAAAAAATAGAACACAACCAAGATTTTACAATATAACTGCATATATTGTTTCATAAATTTCATTGTGCACATCTCATCTTATATATGTATATATATATACAACTCTAAATACACAGCTTTACTAAGAAACAAAAACATACAAAGTACAAAACTCCTGCAATGCAATCCTCGGCAATATCTCAGCCACATAGCTTAGACAAAAAATATGTTCATTTCAGCAAAACTTGCTGCTCCTTCTTTATTGTTCTGATACTGACGCTTGTCTTCGGTGCTTTGTCAGAGTGATCTGGAGGTAAAGAAAAAAATGTAAAGAATATGAGAACATAATTAAAATCACAGTGCATCTATACAATAAAAGCAAAAATAGTAACCTCATGAAGTTGGGTTGTTTCTCTGCCCACATTACACATATTCTAAGTAACGCTGACTAACCCTAATATTACACATCACAATACATATTTCAAAAGAAATGCAATATTTATTGAAATTACCTTTGATTTTTTTGCAGTTTTTCATTGTTCTTCTCTATTGCCTCTTGAACTTTAGTTGGGAGGGTTGTCGCTTCCCTTGGGGCAGGCATGAAGGGCTTGAAGTCTGATAGCTTGGTGGTGGGTGTCCGGATGTCCCCAATCTTGAAGGAGGGCATCGCGGTTTGTTGCAGGCTTCTGTCTAAGTTCCCTTGCAAATACACTAAACGGTTGATCCACATCTTCATGCGTGTTCCCCACCATGAGAAAGAAAGTTTCACCTGAAAATAGTATTTACATCAGTATTATCACTATGAAAACAAATCAAATTGTACAAAACTTGTTTATTTTTACAGAATACTGATTTGAGTATTGAGAATATTGAGAGAAAAATCAATCTTGTGCATTTAAAAAGTTTCAACATTGTGTGCAGATTCTTTTATACTTAGGATGAGCAACTGGACATGAAATACTTGCTTCAAAACAATTCTAATGTGGTTTAAAACAATTTACATAAATTATAAAAATATTAACCACATGTGACTTCAGCATTTACTTTGAATTGTATAGTATAGCCTCAAGGAATAAATATGCTATACATGATATTGTATGTGGAGTCATATACCAATAATTTCATTGATAACTATCTTCATGATAGCACTAAAAGTGATACCTTGGATTGCAGCGTCCACTTTTGACTGGCCGACAAAGTCTTGCAGCTTTACTGGTCCTGGAAATGTCAAATAAATATTTGAACAATACATAAATTGCAACTTTAATGTAATTGGATAGTCATACAAACATAACAATTGCCAATTTCCATTCTCAAATATCCACAATTCCTCCAAAATTAGACAAGCCTACCAGACAAACATTGAATTTATTCAACAGGCCCGTACCAAGCATTTAGCTAAGACAAAGATAAATTTCTATCCTTCTAAACGTGTGTTACAAATATAATGTACAAACAAATGTCTTGACATACATGGCACGATCCCATTACAAAACAAATCCCATTACATCCTTTACTAATAAAATTGGACAAACTACAATAACGTAACCCATATATGTGCACTGTGGATACTAAGCTCCACTGGTTTCGAAATAAGAATCTACATAACTCCCTACCAATAGGATATGTAGACAGTAATATATGTTTTGGTTTGGTTTGTTGTTTACTGCCGCATTCAGCAATATTCCACCTATATGACAGCGGTCTGTAATTAATCGAATCTGGACCAGACATTTCAGAGATTCATATCATGAGCATCAATGCAAGTCAGCGAGCCTGACCACGCGATACTGTTAGTCGCCTCTTAAGACAAGCATAGAATTCACTGGAAACTGGAAAGGAAATATCACAAAAAGACATGTTGTGCTTGGATACCAATTACACAATAATGACCCATTAAATCTTATAATTATTCGGCAACAATGCAGTTTACCGGGCGCAGCCCGAGCTCTACCATCCGCTCAATTACCGCGCTATAGTGCCACGCTGTCTCGTTATACCGTTACCGTGCCTCACGCTCTGGTGACTCTCGCTTCACGATCCAACACCCGTTTTCGGTCTTAGGGAAACTTACACATCTTTACAATCAAACACCCATTCTCGGTCTTAGGGAAACTTACACGTCTTTACGATCCAACATATGTTCATAAAGAAACCATGATCCAAACAGAAGGTTCTTCAAGATATATACAGTGTTTGGTGTACAAAAATAGAATAAAATGCCTTACCCATGTCAACGTTGTTGAAGCAGAGCTGGTGAACCCTCCTCAAGGCATCCAGAGCTTCTCACTGCGACCAGAACTTGGGTTTTCGATGTGATTTACCGACTGGTTGAATAGTTATCGTTTGATCGTCTGACAGAACGTTCTCGACGATTTAACGATATTTAACGATACCTTATTAGGGTTAAATCTATATATACCATTTTTATGGTCGGGCGTCCACGGCTGATTGGTATATCAAATCAAACACAAGGGTGTATATCATGCCCCTGAGTGTTCACGCCTCACTGGGTGGTCACGTAATAAGGTGTGGCACCAGCATCTCGGGTTACAATTTGATATTAATTCAAGTACTCCACTGATAATGTACATAGGTAGTTAACTTAATTACATTCAGTTTTGTCCGACAAGGAGCGAGTTTACTTTTTTTTAGACACAGACTTTGTAACAGGCTCTTCCCCTGGAAACACATATATTGTAAATAAATATTTTGCCATTTCCATCAACCTTATCACGTGATGTTCTATAACTGTTGTCTTGTACACTATCCATAGTGTAAGTCAGCTGGCTCGAGGAATTTTCATATAGTATTATCATTAAACAACATACCCTATGCAACAGTTATGTTGCTACCCAGACAAAACTATTTTTATATTCTATGTTAAATGTAAACGATCAGTTTTTATTATAAATACAAAACCACCTTTTAAGCGGTAATACCTATCACGCATTGAACAACATATATGAACAACCATGTGATTATAAAGTCTCACGTTGGTTCCTCCGTGCAACTTCATGCCTGACTTACATTCATATTGTTCTTTCACCACACTTACGCTTCTCCAAATTTAGAAAGAAGCTGTGTACACAGTGTTCTTGCGAGTTACAATAACGCGTCCGGTTTGGCTGCAACTTCAAAGAGTGGACATATGGTTGCTCCTTCAGGTAGCTATAATTACCCTCTCTATAATGCAATATCGTATTATCCATTTGTAATGAATGATAGTAACACTAAATCGGATTGGATTCAGTTAAATCTACATTTCTCAAGGTCTCTAACATCGAGATTTGAAATATCTTTCATGTAAATACCTTCTTTGTCATGTGACTTGTATATATTCGTGTATATTCAGAATCGTACCTACGCACCATGTCTTTGCACAATGGCACAAGCAACGTGGTATCTTTCTGTAAAACATAGCACTCTTTATTTCAGCCACAGCAAAGATCCCGAACCACGTGCAGTCAGCAGAGTTACAGCGTCTGGTTACCGTCTTGCAGTTACGATACAGGTAAGACGTCAAAATATTTATTGTTTTATTTCTGGAAACGCCGACCCTAAAACGTGGAATTTTGGTAACACGGTTATTTCATATAACAACAACCAAATAACAACCTGTACTCCAAACAGTGAATGTTTGGCTCTGCTGCCATGCGAAACGCGTTTTGTAAGAGTCTAATTTTAGTGTATTTATTTCTACCACTTTTGATAAAAAAATACGCAAACAATCTAATCTGAAAAGGAGATATCTCCATCCCCTATGGTGTTATTGCGACTTGTATACTGTCTACATGTACATAAGGCAACTTATTGTAGCTGTATGGCGACACTTGTAGTGTAGCTATGTGACCATGAATTTGCCTATGGTGATCAGTGAAAACACGGAAAATTACAAAATACCAATCCATGCAGTATTTTGATAATTTACATGCGAGTTTTCTATTATTTATAACGTTAGAAATATTTAGATAAAAATAACTTTATAGACCCAATGTTTATTAATATAACAAATTGTTGTATTAATGTTTTCCTAAAATAAACATATATATCATCTTCTCTTACTGCCCAATCAAAGCTGGTGCTGAGACAATTTAGAATACCCAAACGACGCATATTTTTACGTGCCGTGCCGCCAGACTTCCTGCCAACTTGGCAATTAAATATCCTCGGGTATTGTCACTTCATACGGTGATACATTGTCTCGCGCACGTGGTCGGTGGGTATTGTCTATCAGCGCCACGATCACGTGATCGTTTTGTTAATTACTCTGTGTTACGGTCTCGCCGATCCTAAACTTTCAAAGCCTTCAATAAAATTTATGAGATCATTATCTTATCTTTATTCCGACTGAATCCACCTTTATTTCAGACGCCCCCTCACACACACACTCCCAATGCAAATTCACTGAGGCTTGACCGTTACCAATTAACAGCTGTCAATTAAACAGTTCGCATCTAAGTAGTATGTCATCGAATATATTGAAAACCTTAAGCGTGCTACTTTGGGGGGGGGGGGGGGTGGTGTTAAAGGAGGGTGTTGGTTGTTCACAGGGTCACTCGACAATCACAATGTATACGGGTATTTCAATAATTGTATGATATATTTAGTCCTTGGGCAGCCCCAATCTAAAAACAACAATAAAATCCAAACTCTCACCGACTCACTTAGTGGACTAAAAGCCCTCCAAAACAAAAATACCAAAAAAACGACCTAAATTAATAAACCAAATACTTAAAAGCTCCGACGACCTAAAAAAGGCAGGCAAACAAATAACCATCTTGTGGATCCCCGCCCACGTAGGAATTTACGGCAACGAAAGCGCCGATAAAGCAGCTAAATTATCTCTCAAAATACCAGTAATAAGCCTAAACCTACCCATCTCAAAATCAGAAATTAAAAGTGTAAACAAACAAAAAATAACCAAAAAATGGCATAATCAATATCAAAACTCAAATAGCCAAATCAAAAAAGTGCTCAGAAAACCACTAGCCAAACCTAAAATCCTACACCTCTCTAAAAAAATTGACAGATTTATTACAAAACTCGAAACAGGACACACGAACCTAAATAACCACCTAAAAAAACTTAAAAGACACACCACAGGAAACTGCCCCCACTGCAAACAACCCGAAACCACAGAACACGCACTCATCCACTGCACCCACTACCAAACACACAGAACCACACTCTACAAACCACCCTCAATCTAAATAAGGTTCCTACTCTAGATGAAATACTAAACCCTTAAAATAAACTAGAAAACTTCAAGGCCCAAGGCGTATTCCTAATCAAAACAGACCTAATTAAGCGCATCTAAAAACTAATTAATCTACCAATCCAAAATCCAATAAACATACAAACACCCACCTCACCCGGCTCCCTTAGTTCCCTCCTCCACCCACCTCGGCATTTATACCAAATTTAAAATTCCAAAACTTCAATATAAGCAACCCCTAAAAGCCCCCTCTTGGGTTGCACACATCACTTTCACCCTATTCGGAATACAATAAATGGTCCGGCCAGGCCCGTGTGCGAAATACGCTACAGTCGGAAAGCGCACGTTAAATCTCCTATATCAGTCAGTCAGACCCCAGTGTTTCATATCATTTTCCCACCAAACTAAAAAAGAATAACCCCCAACTGGATATGTCAAGCGAACTAATTTTCGGTTCGTCTGTCGATTCATATTTTGGAAATTCAAGGGGAACCACTCGGGCTTATGCAGCACACACATTTGGGAAGGTTGCTTCAATAATAATAATACTTCTTACCATGGTTTCACAGTCGTTAGGAACTTTTTTAAGATCTGACACCAGATTATGCTGTCCGAAAATTTATCTATTTTTTTTTAGTGGAGACAGGCCTATCGGAAATTCGAACTTGAACAGCAACGCCAAAACCACATTCCGCCGCAGTGACCAGCTGCTGATGACATAGACTAGGCTAGCTTTACACTAAGTCTTGTACCAGGCTGGCCCCTCTGGATAGTAGGTCTGGTCTCTCCTTTGTCCTTGGACCCCCTTTCCGATCATAAGGGTTGAGTACCCCTTGCCAATGAAACACGTGTTTACCATCCTTTTACCTTAGAGCACCCATTTACGACACATGGGGTTAGTTTTGAGTTCGGTTATGGTTTAGAAGTCTCTTGATATAAACATATTTATTTCCATAAAGTGGAGGGATTGGCAAACAAGCAAATTTTGCTTATCTGAATGCCTCTCCCAAACATGATACATAAGTCTCTTTTAACGAATTAATCCAATTTAATTTTCGCAGTATACTCATCCTTATATAATTTCAGCTTCATGACAGTGTGAACATTGAGTGCCCCCTACACAAGTATGCAGTCACTGACAACTGATGGAGTGACCTATACAAAACGGAAGATGCAGACGACTAGTACAAGCACGCACGCACACACACACTCACACGCACGCACGCACATGCTATATAAGTGCAATTATCTTGGACGCGACATTCAACCCAATTTCAACTCACCTCACTTATCTTACTTTGTTCATGTGCCTAAAGCTTGTGGAATGTGTTAATTACTGAAATGAAAAGCATTTTAATGTTTTTTTCATATCTTTTCAGAATATGTGCACATAGCTTTCAATGACCAGACGAAAAAAAGAATTCATTTCAAGTATGTTGAGAAGAAAACGTAAGTAAAGCACACTATTTACATTCATAATACATTTTATTCCGCAGGCTCTATTGTAAAGTTAAACTCTAGCTGCGTATAGGCTGCCATTATCCATTATATTAGACAATATGGATCCACTCATCTATACATCTATTTTCTTTTGTGACAGGACCCATCTCTGAAAAAATCACCTCACCCAAGAAAATACGACTCATTCATGAGAATGAAAAGTGCAAAGTCTCCCAAGGAATTGACTTGTAATATAGCATGTGAATAAATAATTTTTTGAAATATCTCACGAAATTAGTTTTATTTTATTGCTTGTAATCATGTAAACTAAAAATGTTTGTTTTGAGGAAAAAGGTCATTTGAAGCAACTCCAGGTTAAACTATCCAATGATTGAATATTATTTCTCCTGAATTAAAATAATTCTGCTAAATATTACTGCAGAAAAAAATTCGGCCAGAAATTTCTGTAGAAAAAAAAAAATTCGGCCAGAAATTTCTGTAGAAAAAAAAAATACTGCCAGAAATTTCTGCAGAAAAAAAAAATTCGGCCAGAAATTTCTGCAGTAATGCATTTTCTGAGCCAATTTTTGAGCTTGTGAACATGTGAACCCACTGGGACACACATTATTTGGATTCGTCTCCTCGAGAGCTTTCCAGTGATATAAAACATGTTTTTGTAGCTCGCTTCCTTCTGTGTGGTCAAGTTCGGACTCCTGGCCATTCTTAAGTTGTCCCGCCCTGCCTTCATAAGTAGTGGATTTTACATAATGAGCTGCCAGGTCCACAATCTGCAACACGTTCTTATAAATGAACAACTATACTGAACCGCAAAAGAAGCGTCATCCCAAGTAAGATTGCATGAAAAGTTGTCATTTAAGTACCTGGGTAAGTTTTGTCAAAGTTTCTAAAATTTAACATTACCTTGTCCGGAAAAATGAAATTTGATGATAAAAAAAACAAAGCAGATGACAATAAAACCGATCGCCCAAATGCATCACGGCAACGGCCATGGTAACCCGATGCACGTGAAATGCACATGCGTTCCCCCATTTTTTGCCCTATAGAATTCCACCCAGATTGGATAACATTCATTCGTTATTGAAATGCTACCACATGCCAAGATTGACAAGAAATCAGCGACACCAAGCCCTTGGACGATTGCAAACTGGACAAACCGCCCGGCAAGTAGCCAATGCATTTCAAGTCCATGTAAGGACCATACACAGGCTCCAGCAACGGTACCAGACCACCAACACTACAGATGACCGACCACGTAGTGGAAAACCACACAACGTCAGGATCGTCAGATTGTGCGAGATTATCTTTAAAATCGCTTTGTTACTGCTGCGGAAACTGCTCAATAGACCATGGGGACACACCAGCGACACATTAGTGCGGACAACGCGCGTCGACGATTGACAAGCAGACACCTCCACTGTCACAGGCTACACTGAGGACCCATTCTGATACCACGTCATCACCGGGACTGTCTTCAGTGGACAACGCAGCACCAGCATTGGCGCCACCAGCATTGGAGAAAAGTCCTATTCTCAGACGAGAGCCGTTACTGTATCTCAACACCAGATAGCAGAGAGAGAGAAAGAGTCTGGCGACGCTGTGGGAAACATTATTCGGATGCTGGGGTTGTTGAGAGGGACTCGTGGGGTGGACCGAGCATCATGGTGTGGGGTGGAATTGGTCTTGCACAGAGGGTCGGCCCTGTGGTCTTCCAGAACATCGGTCTATGGAGAGACAATGGTGTCACAGCAGCTCGGTACATTGATCAAGTCTTGAGACCACATGCCATACCTCATTTGGCACGTCGCCGCAACCCCGAGTTTCAGAATGATAACGCCCGTGCCCACACTGCGAAAGCAACAAGAGTCTTCCTCCAGCAGAATGGCATCAGAACCATGCAGTGGCATGCCCTCAGTCCCGATTTAAATCCCATTGAGCACCTGTGGGACGAGATTCAAAGACGGCTGAATGACGTCCGACCAAGGCCGACAACTGCAAAGATATGAACTGTGTCAGGCGTTCCTCAGATTGTGGGCTCAAGTGCCTATGGCCTTCATCAACCGCCTCAATCTTTCCATGAATCGACGAGGCACGGCAGTCATCAATGCACATGGAGGACATACAAGATACGGACTTGTGATGCCAATTTCTCAGAGACTAGTGTTGTGTTTTACTTTAAGAACATTTGACACTTTAATTTCAACCTTGATGATCAGTTTTGCCAAGTTACATCTTTTTGATATGTCTCAAAGTATGTTTACTGTGTTTGGACAAATACGGTTTCTCATATATCTATCCATGGTGACGTTTCTTTTGCGGTTCAGTATATATAGGAGAATGAAATCTTTGTGGGTCTTGAAATTTGAAAAATATTGAGGGACGTTCACGGAAATTAATATTTTCTGAGGTTACTTCAGTTTAAAGTATCATTTTTTGTGATTTCAAATTCAGGAACATTTTTTTTCTTTTTAATGATGTCTATGTCTGCCTTGGGCAGACGTTTTAAAGCAATATCAAGAATAAAACTCTCCAGTCGTCACTAGACACACACAGGCATGTTTCTAGTGCCTGACCATAAACGTTAATAAAACATACCTCTCAAGAGATTAGGTAATGAAGGATCCCGAGGTGCACAAAGCTGATCCAGGTGATCGTTCACAAGACTGTTTACGAGTATGCCATGAAAAATGCAAAGACAAATCAACGCTTTTCATAATAGATAACTGTAGTGCGAGTAAAGAACTTACAAAAACTTACATATGGAGCATAGTGTTTGGGCACTTACTCAAAAATATAACTCTGTCCTTAAAGATCTCAGGGAGCAACCAAGATGGGTTGCCCTGTTTCATTGCTAGGACCGAGATTCATTTGAGGAATGTCTACGCGAAAATTATGTTATTTCTACCAAGCTCGAGCGAGATAAAGTCAGAAAACTGTTAGCAGAAACTAAGCACTCAATACTCGTATGAAAACTGACCAACCAGCTGCTTATGCAATTCATTAGCAAAATTTAGCAACTGCTTAGCAGATTTTAGCGACGGCTTAGCAAATTTCAGCAAATGTTAGCAAAATATAGCAAAATGCGGTAAATTGAACACCAGCAACCACTTATGTAATAATGTGGTTGGTCCTCATTCTTTTGCAACAGTTCATTATTTTGGGGTGTATTGGATATTTAATATTTCATTATATTAGACTTAAATATCCCCTAGTGTATTACATTAAAAAGATGGAATGTGACGAACTTCTCGAACTGCTCCAAGATGAGCCAGAACCTACAGTAGATAAATCTAAAGAAACATAGAGAAATACTTGCGGCTTAGGTAGCTGGTGGGAAATGCTCCAAATACCTGGGGGGGGGGGGGAGGATTATACTACTGAAAAAACTGATAACATGACTGTTGAAGAAATTAAAAAACTATACGCGCATAACAAGTCTAGACGCGGAGCTACCATGACTAAAAACAATAGTTTCGGCTATGGTACAAAAAAAAAAGCTGTAGCTTGAACATTTCTTCCCATCCCCTCTGAAAATCGCCTGTACTTATGCGAATCTCTCGAGAAAAAACAATTTGTTGAACATGCTTTAAGCGCAGTAAGCTGTAAGTATGGTAAATTTTACCATAGATACGGAATGTTCTTAGCACCATTTACCGCCACTATAATAATGGCTAAGTATTGTATTTTAAAAGTAATCCCATATAAGATATACAACGGACAAATGTATCAGAGAAGGTAATCTTTAATCATTAATGTCCAAAGAAGGATTTTAATTAACGGTGGTAACCATAATTTGTTCCAAGCACCTACGGTATTCGGTAATAACATCAACAGTTTAAATCATAAGTCCCAAGCACGAGAATCTGATGGCACACAAGTTCAGTAGCGTGTATGGCCACCATGTGCGTTGACAACTGCCACACAACGCCTCCTCATGGATCTTGTGATGATTGTGAACACATGATTGGGAAGACAACGCCATTGTTGCTGCAAAATGGTGCCAAGATCTTGCAAATTTGGGGTTGGTTCTGGAGAGTGCGCAGACTTCTGCCAAGAGCATCCCGGACGTGTTCGATGGGATTGAGGTCGGGAGACCTTGACGGCCAGTCCATGACGTTGACTCCCGCATTCTGAAGGAAATTCCTTGTCAAAATTGCTGTGTGGAGTCTGGCATTGTCGTGTTAGAAGATCAAACCGGGCCCATGTGCTGCCATAAAAGGCAGGAGTTCTGGTGGCAGTACCTGGTCGCGGTAAGCAGCAGCGTTGAGGTTGCCACGGATGACAAGAAGCCTGGAACGTGCATTGCCACAGTAAGCACCCCACACTATGACACTTCCGCCTCGAAATCTGTCAACTTGTACACAACACTGGGCGTTACGTTCATGACGGCGCCTCCACACCCTCGCCCTACCATCAGCAAATTGAAGATTAAATCGGGATTAATCACCGAAGACGACTTGATTCCAATCCTCTGAGTCCATCGTAAGTGTCGCTGTGCCCTCAATTGACGTTGACGCCTGTGTAATTGAGTCAGAATCGGCCCGCAGTATGGCCGTCGTGCTTGAAGGTGAGCAGTTCTCTGACGGTTTCGAACAGTTTGCGACTCAGTCTACCCCTAAACAGTTCATTTCTGGTTGATGTAGCCATCAAAAATGGGTCACGGAGGTGACATAAGACAATCTGACGATCCTCTGCATGTGACGTCAAACGTGGTCGACCTGGCCGAGGGCGATCAGCGGTGGTACCCGTTTGCTGTAGACGCGTCTGTAAATCATAAACAGTCCGTCGACTACAACCCATCGTCCTTGCGACTTCAGCTACGGACGTTCCCATCTGCAACATGCCGATGGCACATTCACGTTGCAGATTTGAAAGGCGTGGCATGACAAATGGCCGTAAAGACTTTTGTTTTCTTGTGTTTTTTTAATGACTGCTAACAAGTATGGCTGAAAACACGTGCGGTGTCATGGCCACGTGACCAGTTGCACGTGAAAAAACGCTTTTGCCACTATAGTGCTGTGCACATGATTTTGATCGATTCACCTGCACAAAAACGGGTGTTATCTGAAGACAATACGTGGCCATTACTGTTTAAATACACAATAAGGGTCCACAATGATCAATTTTAGGATTGTGAAGTTTTTAATTTGGTTCAGTTTATGTGCCCACCTAATAATTATGGAGGCGGAAATCCGACAAGAGAATGCGGAAACGCCACAAGTGAATGCGGAAATGCCACAAGTGAACGCGGAAGTTGTGAGAGTGACTAAGAACCCTCAAAAAG